AGAGAGAAAGGGTGGGATGTTATAAAGAGAGAAATTACCTGCAGTAACTTGCCATCTGACACGGCAACGTTTATTTAATCATGTTCAAGTACACTCATCTTAAACTTTAAAGTGCAGTGTGAGAGAATTATAGGTTACATTTCAAAATAGGCCAAATGAACTGTATAGGCATGCAACAGTGAATGAAGCAAATCTACAAACAAAACAACATGCATTTACTAATATTCATCTTGTATTAAATTATTAATTTTCTCTCCAATGCCTGAAAAGCAATGACTATTCGCTGTTATTCATAGTGGATTGCAGTGCATTCTGGTTTAAGAAACATACTGTATTATTTTAGTCTTTCCATCCTGAAGAGAAGATTAATTAAAAACTACTGTTGATTTTGGTGTTATGTTAATGTAATAAGGGAAATTTGCTGGTATAAAAAAAAAAAAGAAAAAAAAGGTGAGCACTTTTAGCAGTGAAAGTAGAGTTAACATACATCCTCTTTTTCCCCAGACATGTCCTGGCTGGGATTTTTAAATGGCCTAAAATGTCTGGTTTTCTTATGTTTTATATTTGCTGAAGGTAAAGACTGAAAAGTAGTTTGACCAATAGCGTACAAGCATTGTATAAGAATCATTATCAAAATGGCTTGGATCTACAGTGAATGGACAAAGCAATGCAAATGTGCATAAAATATAATGTATGACAGCTGTAGAGAGCATGTCAATAGGAAAACAAAGCCAAAACCCGGAAAGAGGGAACGTATGGTCATCCTAGTGAAATTTCTCTTTGTGTTATCATTGAAAAATAAGTGCCAATATGGCAGCAGACAAATCATTTACAAGGCACAAAAAAAAAAGAAAAAAAAAAGAAAAGGAAAGTCCACAACATTTTGGACAAGATGCTTGCTCATAAAATGTTTCTATTTCACTGTTCAGTCCATAAGGACAGGCGTGATCACCAGCGGAGCATCATTTTTGCCTGTTTTGTTGGTACAGGGACTGAAAAATGGGTAAATGGTCTCAGAGAAGTTGTCCATAAACGTGTAGATGTGCATCTTTGCATCCAAATTATAAAAGGACACTTGGCCTTTTTCGTAGTCCACAAACAGCCCTATCTTCTGAGGTTTCAGGCTGAGGGGTAGGGCAGTAGAAGGCTCAGTCCGGAAGGCATAGTTGTTTTTGTCCCGCAAGCTAAGAAACCAGTAGCCATTGCTGGGGCTGACTGTGATCTTACCCTTCCTGTTGCAGGAATGACTCGCCACTCCCAGGTCCCAGTCAGTCTTTCCACCCACCTCCACCTCCCAGTAGTGTCGGCCACTGGTGAATCCCTTGCAGCCCAGGACACAGACTACACGGTCGAAGCGCTCACGGTTGTTGGGAACTTGTTGGTGCCTTTCACCACACCACACCGTCTTCTTGTCTTCTGATAGGATGAGACGTGGATGAGCAGTGTTGGAGTCCAGGGTCACATCCACTGGTGTAAAAAGTTAAAATAATTACTATATATATTAATAAATACACACACATACATATATATATATATATATATACAGTGGGTACAGAAAGTATTCAGACCCCCTTAAATTTTTCACTCTTTGTTATATTGCAGCCATTTGCTAAAATCATTTAAGTTAATTTTTTTTCCTCATTAATGTACACACAGCACCCCATATTGACAGAAAAACACAGAATTGTTGACATTTTTGCAGATTTATTAAAAAAGAAAAACTGAAATATCACATGGTCCTAAGTATTCAGACCCTTTGCTCAGTATTTAGTAGAAGCACCCTTTTGATCTAATACAGCCATGAGTCTTTTTGGGAAAGATGCAACAAGTTTTTCACACCTGGATTTGGGGATCCTCTGCCATCCCTCCTTGCAGATCCTCTCCAGTTCGGTCAGGTTGGATGGTAAACGTTGGTGAACAGCAATTTTTAGGTCTCTCCAGAGATGCTCAATTGGGTTTAAGTCAGGGCCCTGGCTGG